TGACACAGCAAGAGACGCAGATGACACCTGAGAGATACCCAGTGAGTGACCTTCTCAGAGAAAGCCACCATTAACTGCAGAAGCAGCTGGAATGCCAGAAGGACAGGTGGACACAGGCCACTCCACTGCACCCTCAAGACCTCAGCCTCAGCTCTGGGCCGGGCTCAGCCCTAATTGAGCACCAGTGCCCCTGGGGAATGACAATAATTCTGACCAGACTCTCTGAAAGACACACCTAGTCCCAAATGGCAGCAGTGTCAGACCTGTCCTGATGCCTTTTCAGGATGGCATGCTGAGTGCTTCCTGCCTGGTCCCCACTACCCCTGCCAAGTTGCTCAGCCCTGGTCTCTCTTCCACCCCTGCCCGCCCCAGTTTGTGATTCTCCTCCACCTGGCTTTCCTGAACTACTCCCTCACCCTACCCATGGGCACTCCAGCCCCTGCTCCTCAAAGTGTGGTCCCCAGACCAGCACTATCAGCATCATCTAGGAGCTCGCAGGAATCTTAAGAAATGCAGAATCTTAAGGCCCACCCCAGACCCACTGAGTTAGAATTTTCATTTTAGCAAAAAGTCCAGATGGTTCCTAAGCGTTTCAAAAGCCCTAGTCCAACCAACCCCCTCTGTGAGCAGTGAGCCCTGGCTCTTGAGTCCCTTTCATATCCCATTAAGGTGTCCCTCCCAGGATGTGCCCGAGGCCGGGGCTCCCTGTGCTCAGAGTGTGGGGGAGGGGAGCAGAGTGTGTGCAAGTGCCATGGGGGGTTGCCTGGGGCAGTGTGAGGGGTGTCACTGCAGTGGAGGGAGACAAGTGTGTTGTGGGGAGGATGCTGAGATGGGAGTGGGGCTGTTGCAGGGTGGTGCTGGGTGGTCAGTGCAGGGGCTGGGTCATGCATGAATCAAGCTCTCCATCTGGGGGTTTGTCCCCTGGTGGTGATGACTCTGGGCAGGTCTCCTCCCACGCCTGGCCTCTGGGCGCCCTCGCAAGTCCCATTTCACAGACAGCGGTTCTGCGAATCCATTATCTGCAGTTCCCCGGGGGCGCTGGTGCTTAATTAGGGCTGAGCCCAGCCCAGAGCTGAGAAACCGGCTGCTAGATTAATTGGCGACTTTCCTCTTCGCAGTAGCTCCAGGAGAGACGAGAAATCTTGGGAGTGGGGAGGGGTCTGGCGAGGCTGGGGACTGGCAGAAGGGGATGGAATTTTCACTAATTAAATTAATTGATTACCCAGAGTGCTAGGCAAAGGGACCAGCAGGAGCTGCTGGGGACCGGGGTGGGCAGGGCAGGCTGGGTGGAGATGCGTCACTGCACCACGTCGGGGATGTGCGGGGTGGCAGCCCCACCGAGTGGGTAACCAGACGAAGGGGGTGCCCACGTCACATGTGGTCAGCTCATCAAAGACCCCCCCCGCCCCCCCAGGTGAAAGCTACAACTTCCCCCAAGCTCAGGTAATGAGAGGCAGAGGGGTTGGCAGGTGGATGGAGCGCCCTCTACAGGCCAAGACGCAGGCGGACAGCACCCTCCCTCCACCAGGAGGCAGAAGTTGCGTTACTCTTGGGCCTCTCACGGAGGAGGATGCCGAGACACAGTGAGGCTATTATGTGCCCAGGGTCACACAGGATATGTGTTGGAACCAGAGCTTCTGCCTCCAAGGCCTGTGCTGTTCCCGTTATTCTGCCAAAAGGGGGCCTAATAAGAAGCTAGTGCTCCCTAATCTTTCTTCCCACCCTAACCCCGGGTGGAGAGAGGGAGAGACCCCTGTCCTGGCAGAAGGGGTGGGAGCGGCAGGGTGGAGAGGAGGGAAGGCTGACCTCTGCCCCTGAGTCTCTGGAGGGTGTTGGGGGGATAGGAGGGTTGCTGAGTGTCCTCCAACAGCCAACTAGAAGGAAGGGGCTTAAATTAGAGCAGGAGAGGTGTGGTGGGCTATGGATATCCTCTGACATTTGGGAGGCTCCAATGCAGGGAGGGAGGCTGAGAGCAGCTGTGATGTCTCCAGCTTTGCTGATGTCCAAGAAAGGGACAGACACCTGCCCCTCTAATGGGGGAGGGGTGTCTGTCCTAAGGCAGGAAGCTGGTGACTTGACCTCAAGATCAGCCTCAGGATCTGCACACTCAGCAGGACAATCAAAGCACGGGGCGGGGGGTGGTGGCAATGTAGGGACTGAAGACTTTTTGCTTTAGCTGTGCCCCTTGCCCCACACCATCCCTCTCTGGGCATGAACTGTTGTCTTAAGAGTCGCTGATGGCACTGACCTGCCTTTCCTGTCCTCCCACCTCCTCTACTGTTCCAGGCAAGCAGTTCCCCACTCCATGGAGGTCTTCTTGCCCACCCCACCCCCACTGAAGCCCATTTCTTCTGGCCCAGCTATATTTCGTAACTGGGAACCTTACTTTCCTCCTCCAATCCAAGAGGATGCCCTCACCCCCAACCTAGACTTCCTGGGTTGGCTTACTGTGTGGGTGCTTAGCAACCTGGGGGCTATCTTTGCTCAGGTCAGGTCATCGGGCCAACCCACCCCGGCTTGGGGTGGACGACATGGTCAGGCCTGTGTCATCTGAGAAGCCAGGAAGCCTCTCACCCTGCATTCCAAGTAACTCTTTTATCTGCTAAAGCAGCATGATTAAAAAGAGTATGGCTAAGCATTGCCCTATCTCTGCAGCTTCTAGAAGCAGACAGCAGAACCCCAATATCTCAGTCTGGGGGAGGGGCTAACCAAGCATTCAGGGCAGGGTGGAGTATTCGGTGGGGAAAGCTGTTCTCCGATCATCAACCTTCACACCAAGTACCTGGTGGTGGGCAAAGGGAGCCTGACTGCAAAGCCCCAGGTTCCAGGCACTGACTCACTTTGACCATGGAACCTTGTGTGAGTTACTCCCCCTTCCTGGGCCTCAGTCTCCCTCTGGGTAAGGTGAATGGTTTGCACTAGATCAGAGTTTCTCACTTTTTCCCCATTAGAAGTCCCTCCCTGGAGCATTTGTTAAAAATACAGATTCCCAGGTCCTCCCTGGAGAGTTTGATTTATTGGGTGTTGAGTGTAGCCCTGGGATCCATATTTGAACAAGTGCTCTGGATGATTCTTACTACCAGGCAGATCAAGATGGGATGGAGGGTCTCCAAGGTCCCTTCCAGTTTAGATCTTTTAGGCCCTAGAATTCTTAGAACTAGACCAGCCTCCTCTCTTCCACGCCCCAGCAGCCTGTGGCCCCTGGGCAACCTATGGCAACAGCCCATCTGCCCTTTGCTTTCCGCTCACTTGTCCTTCCAGCTCCATGACCCCCACCTTCCTCAGCACCCACTGAAGGGGTGGGTGGAGATGCAGGGGAAGGGGCGAGGGGGAGAGATGTAGCAGCAAGACCAGGAGGACAGATACACCCACTCGTCTACAAAATGTCACCCTTAAAAGATTATTCATTGTGGCACTGTTTGTAATAACCAAAGACTGAGAATAAAGATTGGTTACATAAGTTAAGGAACATCTGTACAATGTGATATTAGGCAAATATAAAAAAAGGATGACAATACTTTTTATATACTGATACAGAACAATTGCCAAGATGGATGATTACATGAAAAAAGCAAGGTGTCGAACAGTAAGTATAATTTGCAACATTTGGATTAAAAAAAAGAATATATATACATAATTGCTTGCCTATGCAGAGACTGTCTCTGGAAGAACACTTAAGAAACTGGCAAAATGCCTGCCTCTGGTAGGGGAACCCAGTGGCTGGCACAGGGCTGGGAGGGAAAGTTTTCTCTGTTTTCGCATTTGTACCTTTTGAATTTTGTATTACCTGTAAGCCACATCTTCTCAAAAATATTTAAATATTTTAAAAGCTCTCCAAGGGCTTTTTCCATCTCATTGCTTTTCCACCCCCCTCCCTGATTCTGACACAGGACCCTGGCTGGACCCAGATGTGTTGCTCAGGTGGGTGGGGTAGAAAACGGGTAAGAACCCATCCCAGTGAGCTCTGGTGGAAGGAAGGAAGGAACAAAGGCTCAACCCACCGCTGTCAGAGCCTGCCTGCTGCCCACTTGTCTCACCCTCCCTAGGGATGCCTGCTCACGGGCTGGCCTAGTTCCGGCTCCTCAGTCGGCTTCCCTGCAGGGCAGAGACCTCAGCCTCTGGCCCCGCAGCCCAATGGGCAGGTAGCAGGCACAAAGCCCTGCTGGGGACCCTGACCCAGCCCTCATCACAGGCAGCCAGGCTCAGAGCCTCACCTCCTCACTGAGGATCTCCTGGCACTCCGAGTAGTTCACGCGGGCGGCCCAGGTGCCATTGGCCAGGCACTCCCGGTAGCCGTTGTCTGGAAAAAGAAGAGAGAGGCAGAGACCCATGGCTTCTCTCCCAAAGAGTAACCTGGCATCTGTCCGCCCATTCCTCTGTCCATCCATCCAACCATCTGGGCCATCACAGGGGCCTGCTTGCTGGGGGGCTCTGGAATGAAGCTGGGGAGAGGAGCTTCCTGAGTTCCATCGTCCTGCCTCTTGCTGCTTGCTGGTCCCCAACACGGGTACAGTGGCCACCCCAATGCCAGCTCATGGGGCTATGGCTCTGCCTGCCCAACCTTGCACAATTATGCCCACGGGACTGGCTCACTTTGACCAGTTTATTGGGCTGTTTCCTTGCAAGCCTTTCTGAGAAATCTCCCATTTGGGGTCTTACATGGCAGCAAAAAAAAGAATGGTGGGTTCTGATGAGTCAGTTCTCACTCAAGAGACCAGACATGATGTGGCAAACGGTTTGTGGTGTCAGCTCCTGTGGCACAATGCAATGACAGGTGGGACTGTCTGTGGGGAGGTGTCCCGTGGAGAGTCCTCATGTGGCAGTGTTTCACGGGGGGCAGGGCTCACAGGGCAGGTGTTAGAGAAGGTCCCCATGATGGCAGGCCTTATGTTGGAGGGTCATGTGGTGGGAACATCCCTGGCAGAGGGACAGAAAATGACAGGTGGAAGGAGATGGGAGATATGCTGGGGGGTGTCATGGGAGTGGGTCTCATGCAGAAAGTACTTTGTTATTGTGATCTGCTCAGCTGGCTCCCAGCCTGACCCTGGCACTTGGGGAAAAAAATAGGAGAGTGGCCTGGGGAAGGGTGGGGGTCCAAGCAGCCAACAGCCTGGAAGCCAAAATGTGTCACCTTCTAAGGAGATTGGGAGTTGCCTGTGGTCTGACCTGAGGCCTGGCTGCAGGGCTCAGGGATGTTTGGAGCTGCACAAAGGGCCTCTCTCACCTTCCTTCCTGCACACCCCCTGGGGCCACCAGGGCCCTGAAACCCAGGAGGGAAGGGTCAAGGGAGATTCAAATCTTGAGTCTTTTCTCCTGTGCTGGTGGAGGTCACCATGCCCCACACTGTACCCCTCTCTGGCATTAGTGGCTCTAACTATGTTTCCTTGACTTCCTTCTGGACCTGACTCCAGGCAGCATGGGCTGGAGGGAAATGAGCCTTGAGCCATTTCCACTGGGGGCTCCTCCCCTTCTGCAGGCCTTTCCATGGCTCACACTCACCCTCAAGTTGCAGCTCCACCCAAGCAGGGCTGAAGGAGGGTTGGGGAAGCTGCTTGAGTCCCAGTCCCTGAGCCTGGAGCCTAGCATGGGCGGCAGAGTACCACACAGGAGACAGTGCGGGGGAGCTCAGTGCTGCTGTGCTGCGGGAGTGACCTCAGCCAGCTGGCCTCTTGGGACCCTCTCCTCATTTGTAAGAAGAAGGGCTGGGCCAGCTGATCCCCAGGGGGCTGTCCAGCCTGGGACTGACGTCTCTGCTAGCAGCACCAGGACAAGAGGGAGAAGATGGGGGGGGGGCAGATTTGCTGCTGCATCCCTGGGAGAGGGGGCTGCGGCCTGGCCTCCAGGGCTGCAAGGCCGAGGCCTGATCTGTAACCCCGCTCCTCCGCTCTTCTGCTGGGAGGCTGCTTGTGCTGCGGCGCACCAGTGGGGAAATGAGGCTAAATAGATTTTTAAAGCTCTGCTTAGCTTCCCTGCCAGTGGACCTGAGTCTTGGCAGAGCTGAGCCTTTGGGTGGAGTTGAAGATGCTGCGGATTCCCTCCGAATTGCTAAATGAGGGATAAGATACCAGAGGGCTGAGGGCTCAGCGGCTGGGGTTTTCAGGGAGGTCTGGGGGTAGGCAAAGAAGCAGGGGAATCCAGTGTGTCTCCCATGGATGGGAGTGTCTGGGGCCGGAGGCTGCTTCAAAATGTCTGCAAAGAAAGGGACTTAGGGTCAGAGATCTGGCTGGAAAGGGCAGAAGGGCAGGGGTGGGGGGGTGTTGCCATAACAGTAGTGTTAAGAGCTCTCCACCCAGACAGCCTTCACTAGCCGTATGACCTTGAACAAGTCCCACAGCCTTTCAGCGTCTTCATCTGCAAGATAGGAATGACCTTAATAATGGCACCTACCTCAGTGGTTGAGGGGCATTTTTAGTTGACACATACAGGGTGCTTGCAGCTGTACCTGGCATGTGGTGTGAGCTGTTATTTTTATTATTATTTATTGTCTTGGAACTATATTTATATAACCTTACATAAGATTCAGAACATGTCCCCTTTTGGTATCATAATGTGTACCGTTTGGGATTCCTGGAGGCCTCCCTTGGTTCAAGCCCCCCTTTCACAAGGGGGGAGCCTGGAGTCCCTCCCAGGCCCGCTCATCTAGAGGGAGCAGGGAGGCTTGGTGGGAGGGGAGGAGGTGATCCTGCAAGAAGACAGGCGGACGAGTAGCAAGTGGAGTCGTTGCCAGGGAGGATGCGACCTCCTTGTCTTTAATTGCTGAGCTGAGCAGTCCTCCTGGAGAATCATGGGAAAATGGATATTTTTGGAAATGCTTCCCATCTCTTTGAAGATCAGATGCAGCAGGAGGGAGGGCATTAAGGAGAAAGCCTAGAAGTCCTGGCAGCTCCTCCTTAGTAAATGAATTAATTAGCGTCTAATGATCAGATACAACTCTGGGTTCCCGGTCACTACTGATTACACGGGCGTTCCTCATCACTCTGGCCCTGGCGGCACCTGGGAAGGGGAGACTTCCTGCTCTGCCCCCATGTCAAGGGACCATCACCTCCTCCAGCTCCTCTCCTGGGATCACAGAGGGATGAACAAGGGAGCCGAGAGAGCACCTCACCCAAACCTCCCACTCACCTGCAGGTGGAGAAACTGAGGCCCGAGGAGGACCAGTGCCAGGAGTTCCTTAACCAGCTACAGGTGGAGTTGGGAGTAGAACCCAGGACTCCTGGCTTCCACCTAAGGCGGGGCTGACAAATCGAATAGCACATGCCCAGGCACTAAAGGTTTATTTGGGACATGTCAAGTCACCCCTGGGATGAGAGTGGAGGGACCTTGTTAAACGCCAAGGCTGTCTACAAAAGTAGTCAGGACTGTAGCCACAGAGAGCCTGGCCCGCCCCAGTAGGGAGCATGGACTTGACCATGGAGGCAATCAGGAGACTTAAAAGGGTTGACTCCAAGCGAGGGTGAGACAGGGTCAGATGAGAAACTAGAGATGGGGTACCTTGGACAGGGGCAGTGGCATTGGGGATGGAGGACAGGTAGGGTCAGATAAGAGGATCACTTTGGAGGTGGAACAGACAGGACCTGGTGCTGTCGTATGGTGGGGGTAGGGAGCTCCTCCTGGAAGCAGCCCCTCATCCCTTACCATGTACTGGCCCTCATGCTGCCTCCCTCCTGGGAGCTCCAGGTCAGGGCACACAGCTCTGTGAGTGAAAGAGCAGGAGGGCTCTGGTTCCCCAGTTCCAGTGCTGCCTCCAAGCTTTGTGACATTAGGCAGTTTTTAACTTCTCTGCCTCCATTTCCTAATGGTAAAATGGGCCCTACTAAGTTGGATGCTGGCAGGATGTGCATCCCAACCTTTCCTTTAGGTCCTCCTGCCCTTCATCCTACTTCCCCACACCTTTCCCAGTCTCAATTCTTGTTCTGGGGTCCAGGGTGTGGTTGCAGACACATAAGCTGCATGCCTGGCTGTTCCAGCCTCCTGCCCAGTCCCAACACCTCCCAGAGCCCTGTCACTTGCTCTTTGGCTGTGGTCCGCAACCCTAATCTCCTTAATCCAGCTGGTCAAAAAGAGAGGGGCAGGAGAAGGAACTTGGGAGTTTTGAGCTGGACAAAGTCTTAAGAAGCTATGTCATCCAATTCTCTCCATCCTCAGATGAGGGCCCAGAGGAACCTAAGAGGGGGAAAACCGTGCTGAAGGCCACACAATCACTGGCTATCTGTGGTCACCCTCTGTTCCCTCTTGGGGCTCTGAGCTCAGCACACCAGACTGCAAGGGCCCACCGAAGGGTTCCCTCTTGGGGCCCCGAGCTCAGGCACACCAGATCAGGGACACCACCCTCCTTTCAGATAGGTTAGGGCTGCTGGCCTGCAGCTGTTGCTTTCTTGATAAGCAGGGGCTGTGAGTCATTGACAGGGGAGAGCAAATTAATTCTGAGGCTGACAGGTGGTATAGCAAGGAGCTGCAAAGCCTGGTGGTGCAGGCTCAGGGTCTAGAGGAGTGAGGTGTTTGTACGGATCAAGTATCTGTACAAACACTGCCGGGGTCAGTCTGCCCCCACCCCCACCTCACCTGTGGGCCTGCCTGCCAGGCCAAACCCCTGCCTATGGATCTAAAACTCTGAGTCCCCCACCTTGTGGCTGGTGGGTAGGCCTGGTAACCTCTCTAAGCTATTGGGGCTATTCTGATGATTCCTGCCCTATCTCATGGCTCACACTGACTAACCCAGTTTGTCAACTGCAGAAGAAAGTGTCAGACAGAACTGGATGCAAAATTCCAGCTTCACCTCCTATCAGCTGGTGACCTTGGGCAAGTTCCTTAACCTCTCTGAGCCTCAGAGGCCTTAGTTATACAAAACAGTTATGTGTAGTGTCTTCCAGAGTATTGTGAGAGTCAGCAGTAAAGAGCAGGATGCCCAGCAGAGCATGGAGCTGGCCTTTGGTCAATGGTGGCTGTACCTACAAGAGGTACTGTTATTGTTGTTGTCTTTGTCATTATTATCTCCCCCACCTCCAACAAGTCCCAAGCCCTCCCCATCCTGCTGTTCCATTATTATTCCTCCCCACCTCCCAGCAGTTGGTCTGCCCTCCACGGGCTCCCTTACTTGTGGTGTTGTAGCGGACACCGTAGAAATAGGCGGGGCAAGGTCGAACCACGAGCTGCCCTGCGGGGCTCTGGGGCCAGCAGGTGCCAATAAGGTCCACGGATGCGTTGCACTGCAGTCCTGGGGGCAGAGATGGCTGATAAGGCAGAGCAATATCCCCACTCCAGTGTCCCACCCACCTCCCCACTGGCTGACATTCACAGACCAACTGGGCACAACACAGGAGCAATGACTCCAGTGCAGAGATGAGCTCATACAGAGGAGACACCAGAGGAAGGAACCTGAACTTGATGCTATGGCACTAGGGAGCCAATGCGGGTTCCAGAGCAGAGGAAGAAGAGACAACTGGAGGTAATATTAAAGCTGAGGTCCTGGCTGGCATTTAGAGGAAGGCTAGACATGTGTTGGGTCCTCTCATTTGTAGCCTGAGGACACTTCTCTTGGCCCTTCATTTGGTGCAGACTGGAGCTGTCAGAATTCACAGCCTGGAACAGCTCAGAAGAGACCCAGCCAAGACCTGATCCAGTCCCCTCACGTGTCTCTAGAACCAAACCACATCTGCTCTGGACCTGTGGGGAGGAGCCAGCTAAAAGAAGTTGGTCCACCTTCTAGCTTGCCTGATAACCACATTTACTGAACATTTGTGCTCTGGTGGATGCTGGGTCCTAGAAAAAAATTGACTGAGAAGGGGACCATGGGGAAAAAAGGGAAGGAGACACCCTTTGGGGGAGTAGAAAGGACATTGAATTAATAATCTAGAAACTTGGCTTCAGACTGGCTCTGCACTTAATTTGCTGTGTGACCATAGGCAAGTTGCTTGCCCTCTCTGGGTCTTAGTGTCTTTATAGATAATAAAATGAAGTAGTTGGATTTGATCAGAAATTCTTAATCTCAGTCCACGGGAAACTTTAAGGGTTCATAGAGACTCTGAAGTTAAATGAAAAATTTATATACGCATTTTAATTGTGAAGGGGACAAGGGCCTTCATTAGATTCTCAGAAGGGTCTGTGACTGAAAAAAGGTTGTAAACAACTGGACTAGAAAGAGGATGTCAAAATCCCCTCCCAAATGTTTGCCCTTAATTTAAGAGCTTTTTGGGGTGGAGCATGTGTGTGTGCGTGTGTGCGTGTGTGTGTGTGTGTGTGTGTTGGGGCAGAGTTGAAGCCACAGTAACAATTCTGGAGGGCAGAGGTACTTTTGGTCTCCAGTGCGTGGAGGCTGCACTGAGGACACTCCTGGTGCCCCTCCTGATGCTACCCCTTCTTGCTCTGCCTTTCCATGTCCTTCTCCTGCTCAAGGCTGGCACACTAGTCCTGTGGAGACCCAGTGTGCCCATCATGATGGGAGGGGGTTAATAACCTAAGACTGGCACTGGAAGGTACAGACAAGTCAGAAAGAGCCATGAACCAACGAGGGGGTGGCATCTTCAGCACAGGGCATCAGCACCGGCCAAGCCCTGGCTGGGGCCCGCCTGCCATCTCCTCCCCAGATTAGCCTGTGCCCAGTCTCTCAGGAAACAGCACTGGGTTAGATTGGCATCCTCTCCCTGCTGGATGCAGGGCAGTGCTGAGCAACACTTGTACCAAATGCTGGTTTTTCTTTCTAATCAAAGCTATTCATAGGGCATGCATGCAAATCAGGGCTCAAGGGGCAGAGGCCTTGAGGCCAAGTGGTTTAATTAAAAGAGAAAGAAATCTGGACTGGGGCTTAATGGACACAAGGAGAAGGTGGGCCAGGCAGCTGGGGTGGACCAAACCCTGATGCTGTGCCATAGTGGAGACTCCATGAATGGCACCACAGGGCGGTGGCGGTGGGGGCGGGGAGGGGGATGGTAGGGGGGTTGAGGAAAGCAGGTTGAGATTTTAATCTGCCATGGGTCACGCCAATAGTGCTGAGCCTGGAGGAGGGGAGAAGCTGGGAGCATGTGGCTTTGGGGAGGGAGGGGTAATATAATGGCCCATGCTCTGCTTTTTTAAAGCCCTTCTTCATGTATCTTGTTTGAATCTCACCCACCCTGCAACGTCATTATTCCTTTTTCACAGATGAGAAAACTGAGGCCCAGAGAAATTAAGTAACTTGCCCAAGGTCATGAGTCAATGAGTGAAAGGACCAAGACTCATAGCCAGGTGTTTTGGACTCTAAATTGAGTGCTATTTCTATTACACTGTATTGTGTGCCAATAAAGGAAGGGGAACAGTCAAGGAGACAGTGGGAAAGGAGCGGTATTTACTGAGGACTGACTGTGTGCCAGGCAGGTATATATAAAGCCATATATCATCTGACTTAAACTTCCTCCATAGGTTGTTCATTCATTCATTCATTCACTCACTCACTCATGGTGTCTTTTGAGCTGGGCACTGGTAGCATTAAATGGAATGTCATGTGTGGCAGCACCCAGAACTTGCCTAGCCTCATTAGTGTAGCATCTGCCCTCCCACCCCTCCCTCTCTCTCTTCCCTGGACAGTTACCCAGAGCCCCTTCTGAAAAGAACAGGTAGCAGGGCAGGACTGGGCACCAGCCATAGCCAAGATCACACCAGAACCAAGGCAGGGGCTCAGCTACTGAGCTGATGGCCCTCCTGGTCTGGAGGACCAGATACCAGCCAGTGTCCAGCAACCTGACCTCGCCCACAGCTGGTTTGGGAAATGCCTGTGGGAGTGGTCAGGAAGGATGCTACTTGCCACTAATCTGTGGTACAGATTCAGCTTCCGTAGCACCTGCTATGGGTCTCATGCCATCTGCTAACATGGGAGGGAATTCTCCCCATTTTACAGATAAGAAAACTGAGGCCTGAGCAAATTGCTTATCCTTAGTCAACCAGACAATAAGAGGCAGAAGTGGGTTTTGAACAGTGGCTTCCATGCCTGCCCAGGGCTCTTCCCACAGTACCACAGCTGTCCCCAGGCTGGGCAACTGGCACTCACAGCATTCGGCTGCACTGGTCTCAGCGCTCCGGCTTCCCCCGCGTGGCGGTGCCTCCCCACCCCCTCCCTCCTGTCCCCCGAAGCTCAAGAAGGCTGTGTAGAGGTGGCGTGGGGAAACATTGCAGTAGACATGACCTTTATTAACAGTCCAGAAAATCCTGGAGGGCATGAAAGCCTGTGTGCGAGACGGGAAGAAAGGGAGACACAGGCTGCAAGAACGGAGAAACCAAATACAAGGAGTCTGGAGACGACGTTGCCTCTCCCTCTGGAATAAAGGGGCGACACTGGCCTGAAGCAGGGGCTGGGTGGGGGTGGTCCGAGGGAGGGGAGGAGCCAGCTAGGGGCGTGGCCACAGGCACAGGGCCAATCTGGAGCGGCGACCGGGCTCAGTCTTAGAAATTCCGGCTAGAAAGTTCAAAGCTGGTTGCCTGCGTGGTTTTAGGGGGGAAATGGAGAGAGGAGAGGTAGGGAAGGAAAAGGAAGGGTAGAGGAAGAGGGGCGGGGACCCAGAGGTTGAGCGAAGGGAGGAGGCTGCAGGACAGGACCTCAGGCGCTGAGTTCCGGGGAGGTGGGCGCTGCCCACTGGACCTGCTGGCCTGTCTGCCCACTAGGCTATGCGCTTCCCCCAACGTGCCCCACCACTGTGGCCAGCAGAGGATCTCAGCTCACAGCGCTGCGGACACCCCGCCCCTGGGGTTCCGGCAGAGGCTGGGCCTCAGAAAGGTATACAGGATTTGGGGGGGGTGGGTGGAACCAACCTTTGTTGAACAGTACTCTGTACCAAGCAACATGGAAGACACTTGACGAAATTCAATTCACTCAATCACTCTTTGAGGAAAAGAAAAGTGGGGACGGGATAAGTGGGGAAAGAGAGAGAGGAAATAGGAGACACTGAGAATAAAACAGGGAGAAGCAGACAGAAAGCCAGGAGAACAAGATACAGAGAAAAATTTCAGAGGTGCTGGGGTTGGGGATGGAGTGAATCTCCTAGCTGGGAAGGGGAGAAGGAAGGAAGGCAAGTGCCTGTGGCATGGGGGCTATAAGAACCTTGAGGTCAGAGCTGTTGGACTGTGATTCTTGGGCCAATGTCCCCTTTAGGTCCCACTGGTCAAATGTCTAATCTTTCCTGCTCTCCTGGGAGTATTTTCCTGCTTGGATATCGTATGGTTCTGGAGTGAGGTGCAGTTTGGACCAGAGTAAGCCAGTCTTGCAAATAGCCAGGCCGACTTACCAACCAGCAGCACAAAGCCTGAGTTACTAATAGGAGCCAACTCCTCCTTACGCCAGTGGGTCCAATGGAGCCCCTTATAATCAGTGAAGTTATAGATGGGGAGGAATAATGACTTTGCTATTTATTCAGAAAGTTTTTACTGACCACCTAAGATACCTTCTAGGAGCTGAGAATACAGTGCCTGTTCTGGGAGCTGGGATACAGTAATGAGTAAAATAAATGCCCTGCCGTCAGTCCAAGGGCGGGGGGAGCGTGAGGGTGGGGTTGTTTGTGCAGTAAACAGACAGACCTATCTGTTTAGCAGTGAGAGATGCTATGGAGTAAAAACAAGGAGGTTAAGGAGACAATGACTGACATGAGTGCTATTTTAATTTGGTGCTCTTTTAAGTAGAGACCCATTGGAAGTGAGAGAGGGAGCTGTGTGCGTACCTGGGGGAAGAGTGCTCTAGGCAGAGGGAACAGCAAGTACAAAGGCCCCAAGGCGGGTATGTGTTCAGTGTGTCTGAGGTGTTAACAGTCCTGTCACTTGGTGGCTCACTCCTTCATTCATGGGGCAACTATCCCTTTAGTTTTTTCTGGGGGCAGGAGGTGGAGCCAAGTGGACAAAAGTAATGCATAAAACTGGTCCTGTAGCTTCCTCCTTCCCCACATGAGCACAGAACAGTTGCATAGGGGCCCACACTCCAATTGTTCATGGGAACACTGTGGTCAGACTGTCCCAGATCCCTGCAAATGGAGGGAAGGGGAGAGAGGAATGGTATGAAGGACTCCCACCTGCCTCTGAAAAACTCCTGCTGAGTCAGAGTCCTGAGGGGTCTGCTTTAATGAAAAGATAAGGACCCTTTGAAGGTGGCCTATTTAAAGCTTGTGCATAATTGGGCACTGGTGTCTTCCCCCAAATAGATTATAGAGTTCTCTTCCCATCAGGCTCAGGGTCCAAATGTACTCAGCAGAACTTTCCATGTAGGTAACTTCAAAGGGAAACTGGAATCTGGTTCCTGTCCCCAGTTATGTCGGTCTCCCATCAGGGGCTTCTGCATGAACCAGGGTAGGTGGGTACTTGGCAACAGCCCTTCTGCTGGGAAGCCCATCCTCCCATATGGTTTAAGCCCAAGAGACGGACTCAGCCAAGGCTCCCCAGAGGGGCAGCCAGGTGGCCCAGGGGCAGCCTCTGAAACACACATGCTTGCCCATTCCAGCAAGGTGCTGCTGGAATGAATGGGCATGGGTCACCTGGCATGGAGAGGGTGGCAGAGGCCAGGTAGAGAGTCCTGCTTTTTGCTCAGCCACCTTGTCATTGGGCTGTTGCCTCCTTAGCTGGGCAGAATAGAAAGATGCCTTTGCAGGGTGTGTAATTCATCAGGACATGTGGGTGGAAGCCTCCTGTCCTCTAGGTCTGTGGGCACATAGTAGGTCCTGAGAAAAACTGAAAGTTGTGTGCAAACCCAATATGGTTATGGGAAACTGGAGGGGGGCACTGCACCCCAAGATAATTGGCCATATTGGGCTCTGAGCACCATGGCTCTCTGGGCAGCCACATACATGGTGGTGGGAAAGTCTGGAATCAGGCCTATTTGGTTCAAATCTTGGGGCTACTGCTTAGTAACTGTGTGTACTTGAGTGAGTTACTTAACCTCTCTGAGCCATAGGTTCTTCTCTGTAAGATGATGATAAAAATACTTCCTGACAATATTTTCGTGATGACTGAATGAGATTAAAGCACTTAGAATGGTGTCTCACACATAGTAGGCACTAAGTAAATATTAGCTATCATTAATTATTATTATCACTCATGACCTTAAGACAGGGGAAGGGACCTCATGACCCTGGATCTTTGTCAACAGTGTGATTCCATTTATCTCTGATGTCATTGGTCAATAATTCTGTTACTTTCTGACATTGTCATATTCATGCCATGATTTCATGAGTTGCCAAGTCTGTGATCTGCCACATGATGGGGCCTCGGCCCTGGGGACCCATCCTCTCCCTGCTCCTGGCATGTGAGAGGCCCCCCAAAGGCCCCAGCTCAGTGCCAGCTACCCCAGCCAGACGCCCATCCATCTGTCTCAGTCCCGCTACCCCACCCTCACCATCTGTCTCTACCAGTGCCCTTCAGTCTGGGTAGGTCTGAGTGTCAGAAGACAAATAGCCCATTATCAGAGGCTGTGGGAAGGGTGATGGATTGCGTGCCCTGAAGCCAGCCAGGCTGGGCTGGGCTGGGCTTGGGGTAGGGGCACAGTACAAGTCATCAGGGAATGAATGGCATTCATCACAGCCTGTTACCTCCAAGGACAGGTGACACCTTCATGGGCTCAGGGATGTCACTGCTCCAGAGCACAACAAGCAAGTTAATGGAGACTGACCTGGCCCCAGTGCCTGGGGTCGGAAATTGGTAGGCGGACTGCAGGCAGGGCCCTTCATTTCAGGCTGGGCCTCTGAGCAGGTCTCCTCCCTCCTAGTCTTTCTCCACTAGAACTCTAGACTCCTGCTCAAAAACATTTCCATTCCTCACGGCCCAGCTTAGCCAACTTTGCAGCCAGATGCTTGGGGCTTCTAGTACCTCCCCAGGTTTACTGCTTTTCCCTCCTCACCCCTCCCCTGTTCTTCCACCAAACCCACCTGCTAGTCCTTAGTCAACTCTAGCTTTGGCTCAGGGCATTGGCTCTTCTCTACTAGTCCCTTCTCAGAGTTTCTCAGAAACTCATCTTGAAATCTCCTCCTTCAGGAAGCCTTCCTGGATTCACAGCATCCCTCATCTAACCTCCCTACCACCTCCATTGTAGTGAACAGTTCATGGCATGTGCCTTCCCTTCATTCCAGCTATACAGTAAGCACTCTTAAAAGCCTGCTGATATTACCAACAATAATAAATAATACTTAGTAGTGGTATAGCACTCTACAGTTTGTGAAATACTGCCATTAAATGTGATGCATTTAATCATAACAGATCCTTGAGGCAGGTGTCACTCTCCCCTGTCCTCATTTTACAGTTGGGCAAAGTAAAGTCTCAAGGATCAAGAGCATGCTCATCTCTGCGGCTACCAGGCGGGGCCCCTAGGACAAACAGGACAAGACCGAGCACTACTGTGAGCACGAGGACCCAGTTGGTGCTCCAAGTCCAGTGCTCATTCCTCCCCAACCCCGAGGCCCTCCCTGGCGAGGGAACAGCAGGCCAGGGGGCAGCTGCTCTGAGCCATGGAAGCTTTCTCTCCCCACAGGCCCAGGTTCAGATTCTAATGCTTCCTGCTTCCCTGCTAGCATGTGGCGGCTGTTTCTCTGCCAGCGTGTGCCTTGTGTTTATGGACTGGACTCCTGGACCAGACTGTGAGCCCCTCTTTGTTCTCCCAGGGAACATGGGGCCTGGCACACAGTACGTGCTCAATTAATGAGCTGGACTGAATCAAAGAGAGTTTGGCAGAGGAAAATAAATCACCAAAGGATGAACCTCCCAAAGACCCTCAGGGCACCTCTCTACCTTTGCTGGGCAGCAGCATCCCCAGGACCCTGGTTAAAAGGGCCAGGGTGAGGGTTCAGGGACCACACACCAAGTCAGAAAAGGCATGGCCTCAGAAGCCCCAAAACCTGATTCTCCCGTACCTCAGTTTCCTTATGTACAATTATTGGGTCTTAGACTCTTGTGAGGATGAAGGACTATATAATAGGACTATTATACAAAAGCACTTTGTAAATGGTGAGGTTATACAAGTATTAGTAATATCTTCAGTTAAGCAGTAATTTTTATTGAGGAGGTCAGAGCACAGTGGTAAAGAACAAATCTGGATGCCAGGCTTCCTGGGCTCAAATCTTGGCTCCGACACTTATTAGTTCTTCTCTGTGCCTCAGTTTCCTTATGTGTAAGAGGAAGATGACAGTACCTAGTTCAGGAGGTCACTGTGAAAACTGGGGTACTAGACAGACGGTCCTGACTTACAATGGTTTGGCTTGATGATTTTTCGACTTTACCATGGTTTGAGAGCAACATGCATTCAGTAGAAACCATACTTCGAATCTTGAATTTTGATCTCTTCTCGGGCTAGCGATATGCAGTAGGATTCTCTCTTATGATTCGGGGCAGCCACTGCAATGTCCAGCCAGTCACGTGATCACGAGTACCCAGCCCATACACCATACACTTACAACCACTCTGGACCCATACAACCATTCTGTTTTTCGCTTTCAGTACAGTATTCAATAAATTATGTAAGATATTCTGCGCTTTATTATAAAATAGGCTCTGTGTTGGATGGTTTTGCCCAACTGTAGCTAATGTAAGTGTTCTGAGCACGTCAAAGTAGGCTAGGCTAAGCTACAATGTTTGGTAGGTTAGATGTGTTAAATGCATTTTCAACTTATGATATTTATGATGGTTTTATATGGATTTAACCCCGTCGTAAGTCAAAGAAGGTCTGTATCTCAAATACCTCCAACAGTGCCCTGCACATAGTTAGCACCCTACAATAATATGCTTCGGGCATTTTTAGCAGCAGAAAACAGCAGGCTTTCGTCCTCACTGATGCCTGAGTCACAGCCCAGCCCTCCGCTCTGTTGATTCTCACAGCAGCAAGGGGCTGGGGCAACTTCCCCTGTGGTCCACCTCAGAGCAGAGAAAATAACTACTTGACACACTTGCCACAAGGCCCTTCTAGGCCCGTGGCAGACGCTGTCACCCAGTTGCAGCTCTCTTTCCCACCAAACTTACAGTCCACTTCAGGAACCTCCTCAACACAGCACTCTGTGGACACATAATGTATCACTTGGAGCCTTGGAGAGGAAATTCCTCTGTATTCCTGCCCTGGGGCATGGCTCTGTGTGCAGGCCCTGGGAGACATGGTGGTGGTGGGTGTCCGGGCAGTGGTGACCTGGAATCTTGCAGGATGTGGGGGTTGGGTACTCACCGGAGATGTTGCTGGCCAGGGACAAGCTCTCGCAGTGCTGGTCCTGGAGGGAGGCAGAGATGGAGTTCAGCCCCAGGAGGAGAAGGGCCTGTGGGCACAGGGAGGAAAGGGGTGTGGTTTGGACTGTGCCATGAGCAGTCTGGCCTGCAGCTTCCCATCTCATCCCTTTCTTACATGTCTCTTCCCAGACCCTGCTCACCTCACCCCCACCCCCTGCCTCCTTGCCCTCCTCCCCAGTGTCCTCTCTACCTTGACGCTCTGGGGCTGCTCTGCTCTCAGAGGGGCCTGAAAGGGAGGCAGGTAACTAAGCAGGAGCCCCGTTTCCCACGACAGAGGTGAACTTTCTCCCTAAGGGCCAGGGGCCCCAGGGAGGCTCTGCCTAAGAACACGGCCTCCATCCCGTGAGACTGCAAGGATGGCCCAGCTGTGTCCCGACACTCACACATTCACACACACACACACATCCTCCTACCTGCCCGCTGAGCACCCACAGGCTCACCGAGGACCCTTATTGGTACACCTGCCTCCCTCCCTTCTTCCCTCCCTTCTGAGCCGCAGGAGCTCAGGGCCTGTGCTTTAATGAGCTGCCTCCCTGGCCCTCATCCCCGCCCAGATAATTACTGGTCACTGCAAATTGTGCCTTACCATTTACCAAGCCCTTTTACATCTGTGATGATACTTCATTCTCTGTGGGGCTGGTGTGGCTGTCCCTGATGAGTAAGCCAAGGCCCAGAGAGAGGAAGGCATAAATGTGTCTGGAAAGATGGCTCCCCTATTCCAGGGGGAGTCTTTGTCTCTTACCCTCCCTGGGGACTCGGTGTCACTCTGATTCCAAAATCCCACACCTGGAGGGCTGTCCTTTCTTCAAATAACACCCTCACACAGCCCTTGTCTCCCCTCCCTTGAGGTCAGCACCCTCCCTACGGATTCAGAGTCAAAAGAGACCTGGCGTCCCGCCCTGGTTTCACTGTGTTGCCATGGGCAGGTTACTTGATCTCTCTGTGCCTCAGTTTCCTCACTTGTAAAGATGGGTATAATAGCACACCCGCCCCTCACCAGGCCAACAGTACGCAGTGTATTTAGAAGTCCTTTGTGAGTAGTACAGCTTGCTCCACTAGGGCAGAGATTTTCTTTTGTTCATTGCATTCAAATTTACTGAATATATTCATGAGATACATTGTGTCTCAGGTCTACCACAGGCACTTAATAGATCAGGTTGATTGATTTGAACTTGATGGTTCTTATTTAGTCATGGGTCGGAGGCAGTGCGATTGTTTTCCCTGGGATTTGCTTTGCAAGAGGGGTTGGTGTTGGGGTCATTGTAACCTGCCCCTCCCTCCAGTTCTCAGGACATGGGAGCCCGATGACTAGCAGAGCTCGGTCTCCCTGACCTCAGGGGAGGCTGCTCTCTGCATCACCAGCCCTGCTTCCCTGCTCTTTCATCCTGGGGTCCCCTCCCTGGGACTCTCTCTTGGCCTTCCCCTACCTGCCAATGTGCTGTCTCAGCTCCAGCCCATTTCCAAACAGTTCTACAAAATTCAAATAGAGACGCATAGATCTGGAAGCTGTCTTAGCCATGTCACAGGGGAAAATGAGATTGGGGCAGGGGGAGAGGTAGACGCTTGCTGGAGTCCCATGGTGAGCAAGTTTCTAATTTAGACTAGAGCCAACTCCAGCAGCACACGTTTGCCACCATCATTTGCAGACCTCTCCTGCAGGGCCCGGACTAGGTTGAGAGCCTCATCTAGGGTGCAAAATTTATGCGGGGGTGGTGCCAAAAAACTTAGATACAAGATACATAATGTTTTAATGCAATATTTTTTTAAACTCTAAATTAATGCAAAAAAATTCATGATCAACAACATAGCAAAAGCTTTTTTTTTTTTAAGTCAGGATCACTAACAGTGCTGGAGCCAAATTGGAGCCCAGGGTAAAAGGAAAAATCAGTAACAATATTGAAATATTATTTATCTTGATACTGCGATTTGGGGCATCTCCTTAAATTCCATGCTTGAGAAAAATACCTTGCTTGCCTCACCCTAGCCCTGGCCTTGGGGCTCACGTACCTTCTTCCCAAGCTGGCCTCTGCTCCCGCATCCACCCCTCCCCACATCTGAAAGTCCGCCCTCCTCCTGGACTCCTCCCCACTCACCTGTTCTGGACCTCAGGTCCTTGCCCCAGTCCTTAGAAGCAAACTGACCAGCCCTTTCTTAGGGCGAGCTTTCTGTGCTCACCTTCCATGAATGTCCTTTCCTGCCTGGGTGCCCAGCCAGGGCCACCCACCTTCCCAGTACTGGGTCCTTCCTGCTCCTATCTGATGACACAGGCCCTTTCTCCCATCCTACATTCCAAGATGGAATTCAATGCTCCTCACTCCTGGTTAGAGCCTGTCCCCTCAACTTCCTGAGGGAAGACATCCCCCCCCGGACCCTGATGATTCACACACTCTGTCCCCTCAGCTCAGTGCTGTGCCTGATTCCTCAGTGGGCTTTGTTTATTCCCTCACTGGCACACTCCTCCTGTCCCATCATAGGGGTCTTTCTGCTTTTACTGGGCCAAGCTTGAGGCTCCAAGCACAGCCACAGCCCTGCACCCCTGTCCTGTGCCCAGCATTCAGACTCAGCCGACGGCGCTGCTGTCAGCGAACTTGCTCCTGGAACTCGGGAGTGATTAGAACAAACCCATTCATCTCTCTGGCCCCAAGGAACTTCCAACACTTTATTAATCAGTAATTAAACTTCACAGTCCCCAGAGAGCTGGCGAAATATCCTTACCCTCATTTTCCAAATGAAAACGCAGAAGTGGAGAGAGGAGGAAGCCACCAGGCTGGCCAGTGGCTCTCGCTAGCTGAGCACAGGTGGTGGCATTGCTGACAAACATACTGCTCGGCTCAGCACAGTCAGCAGGGACCCAGCTCTGAGCTGTCCCACAGAGGGCCGCTCAGCTGGGATGTCCAGAGGCTCTTTCTTGAAGGGGACTAGGAACTCCTGCCCCCAGCTTGTCGCTCACCCCTGCCTCTGCCATTTCCCAACACAGGCACACACAGACTGGAAATGGGGCTCCCAGAGCCAGCTCAGCCACAGGCAAATTAAAGCAACCAGCAACACCGTATTTGAAAGTATCAGCCCTGCTGCCTGACATCCCAACACTGTCCTTCTAAGCCTGAAGCTGTGCTTTGGTCTTTTGGCTGCCCCTTGAGAGCACGCCACGCTCTACTCACATTGAATCACTTCTCACGTTGAATTACTTATTGCTTCCCCAGCACACAGGGTTCTGCTGGTGTCTGCACACCTTTGCCCCCTCCTCACCCTTCCTTTACCCGGTGAACTCTGCAGTCCTTGGACGCCAGGTCCAGAGCCCCACCCCTTGGCAGCACCTTTCCCAACCCTCCAAAACAAAGCAACCCAGCAACTCAGTCACCCCTCAATCTCCCGTGTCGCCTCTATACATGTGCTGGACCCCGGCAAGCCAAAACCTCAGACTAGTCCCAAATGTATGGACTTGCCTCAGTACAGAGCACTTACACCCCAGGATCCTAATTAGATGGCAAATACACCAGCCAGAAGGGCTTAGCCTCGCACCTTAATATCCCGGGGTTCACAGAGGAGCAAGGCAAATGCAGATGCATCATGAAGCCAAACCAAATGCCACAGGACGAAGCCTGTCCTTGGCTGGCTGCCTGTAACCCTGCCCCTTACTTGGATATGGTGGTTCACAAAGTCATTTTCCACCAGTAGAGGGCCAGTTTTGCATGATGCAAAGAGAAAAAATCTTAAAATTCCCAAACCAACCTCTCCTCTCAGGAAAGGTCAGCTCTGCGCAGAATCTGAGCCTGTGCCACCTCTCGCTCTGCAGGAGGGTTTGTAAAGCGCCTGGCCTTTTCCTGAATCACACTTTCATGAAAAGTCCAGAGATTGCCTGTGTATTTCCTCCCACCATACGTTGATCTCCTCTTCAACATAACCAGCTTTCCAACTTCACAAAGAGGAAGTTACTGTGCTGCAGGAATGAGGAGGAAAGGGCCCCGAAAGTTTCAAGGATGTTGTTTGTTTCCTTCTAAAGCTGAGAGATCTTAATCTGGGGTCCGCCAACACACAAGGTGGAGGGGGCACGTGAAACCCTGTAATTAAATGCAGAATGTTGTGTGTTATGACAACCATTTTCCTGCGGACGGTGCAAAGCTTTGTCCACTTCTCAGCGAGGTCTGGTGCCCCAAAATATAGCCGGAGCGTGTGGTGAGTGGGGTCCCATCAGAGACCAGGGCCTCACCAAACTGGACACATTGTCCTCTCTCAAAGTAATCGAAAGTGGTTTTGGCCTAAGAACTGCCACTTTCTTGGACCCCTCCGTCATCAGCCCTAGGCGCTGGCTGTCCTTTCAGAACCATTTTTGACAAAGCAAGTTTTCAGGACTTTGTGAGGTGGTAGAGAAAACCAAAATGGCACGAAAGAGCTGAAGCTGGCGGGCGCTAGGCTCACTCACGAGGTAATGCCTCACTTCCATAGCCAGCCTGGCAGCCCCAAGTCCCAGAATAAAACCTGCACCTCAGCTGCAAATGTCTCCACTCGCCAAAGAGGCAAACCTTGAAGGTTAGATCTGAGAAGGCCAAGGGTGTGCTCAATCACAGCGTCACATAAAACGACCATCCAAGGACCCAGGGATCCTTGGCAAGGAAAGGCACTGCGCTGCGGAAAGCAGACAGAATAAGTCTCGTGCTCCCCATTTTACAGGCGTATTTACAGTTGAGGTGCCCAAGGTCACAGAACTGTTTCTGGCAGCTATGTGGAGACTAGAGTCCAGTGAGCAGGCAATCTGGGTCTGTCTTTCAAGCGGATGAAAGATGGAGGAGGGGTCAGGAGAGAGTGTACGAAGAAGGGACGGGCAGAGGAGAGGGAAGGGCCCAGGAGCCCTTGGAGAGGGAGGGTGGGAGGGCTTGAGTCTGACAGCTGCCGGCTCCAGGCTGCTCCAGCTGCTGCCCGCACCCCAACCCCCAGGCCAGCTCAGAGTGCGGCTGGAATTGAAGCTGCCATCCCAATTCCCAGTGTGACTTTGGCATAAAGGTTAATCACACCCGGAAAATGCTTATTA